TCTCACTCTTTCTGTAGTATTTCTATATGCTTATATGCTTATACTTAATAAAAATAATACACACCTCGCCGTATATGAAGAAGATAAAAAAAGTAGCCGCAAGGTTAAAACGTTAGTGATTCGTGTTGCAACTCTCCCCATGCTCTGAAAGCTAAAAAAAAGGAAAATATGAAAAAACTCACGTATAAAAATTATGCATGTAGTATGCATTTGATATATAACATTCGTTATATATCATTTAATATATAACAGKAAGGTGTACATTAAAATATTAATTGAAACAATTACCTGAAATTAACGGGATAACAAAATCCGCTGCAACAAGTATATAGATGACTGATTAAAAAGTTCGAAAGATTCGCCATATTGATGCGCATAAAAAAGGCGCATAAGACTGGCGCGAAAATACTGCATGCGCGAAAATGATGCGCAGTAGATCTTCATTCCACCTATAATAAAGAAAAATTTCGAATGATTAAAAATACGATATAGAAGCATAAAAATCGTCAAAATATACATAAAAAATCAAAATTGATCCTTACATCCTTTATATATTCTAATAGGAAGATGTAAATCTTACAAAATATCTTTTAATTACCTGATCTTAACGAGACGATGACACTCCGATGTGTTCTCCACGAATGACGCCATGAAACTGAAGAATTCGGACGAAAGCTTGGCTGTGATTGGCTAATTCGTTTTTTTGAACGTGAAAAGGGTCATCACAGCTTCTTACACGGACAGAATCTGACCTTCCTCATGACCACGCTGGTCAAATTACATATGATAATCTATTTATTAAATAAATTAAAAATCATTATTATTTTTCTAATAAATGTACACAATACTTATAAATATTCTAAAAATAATGAATAGAATAAAGACAATGTAGACATTAAGAGATCTTTGTCGTTTTGCACAAAAGAACATAATCGTATAGAAGAGAATTGTCGATAGAAAAATGTCTAATATGAAATGTAGCATATGAAAGAATAAATTCCCAAWATCTGTATCGATAAAGAATCCTCACAATTGAAATACTTTCACAGATGCATAATTATTTTAAAAATATTCACAATAACGTTTATACACGATTCACACACGAAGATTATTCCACATGATTTTCTATGCTATAAGATACTACATTCCCTTTATTCTATTCATTATTTTTAGAATAATTATGAATAACGTGTACATTTTATTTCTAATTGAAAAAAGAAACATAAATTTATAACATATCAAAATTGTTTTCTATTTAATGTATGTTAAAACATATGAAATGTTTAAACCAATGTATATGCATAGAAACAATCTGMAATGYAATTAGAGAATATTAGAATGATAAAATAATTGTTAAATAATTAATATAAGTGCATTTTGTTATCTAATAACTWATTACATATGATCTATCTACCTTTCCCTTCAAGATTTACCTTTTAACTGAGACATTATCCTCTATAAAAATACTTTTATTTTAATGTTGTTTAGGTTATTTTCCGAATGTTGCCCATGTATGGAACAAAATAAAACATTCCAAGTAAACAGAGATACACATTATAACTCTCTTCATGTAACTACTATTTTTATTAAATGCACATGTATCTTGTAATCATTATAAAAATAATGAATACAATAAAAAGAATACATACTATAAACATTACCTCATTGCTCACGAGAAAACAATCATGTAGAAAAGAAATCTTGTCAAAGAAATTTGTAAAACAATTGACAATCTATCGCTTGCCAATAGTAAAAAAGTCCCTATAATTTGTTCTTTAACGTAAAAATACGCCTTTATGACGGAGATTTATTTTTATACGTGTGGCAAGCGATAGATTGTCAATTGTTTTACAAATTTCTTTGACAAGGTTTCTTTTCTACATGATTGTTTTCTCGTGTGCAATGAGATAATGTTTACATTATGTATTCTTTTTATTGTATTCATTATTTTTATAATGATTACAAGTTACATGTGTATTTAATAAAAATAGTAATAACATGAAGAGAGTTATAATGTTAATCTCTGTTTAATTGGAATGTTTTATTTTGTTACATACATGGGCAACATTTGCAAAATAACCTAAACAACATTAAAATAAAAGCATTTTCACAGAGGATAATGTCTCAGATAAAAGGTAAATCTTAAGGGAAAGGTAGATAGATCATATGTAATAAGTTATTAGATAACAAAATGCACTTATATTAATTATTTAACAATTATTTTATCATTCTAATATTCTCTAATTACATTGCAGATTGTTTTTATGCTTATACATTGGTTTAAACATTTCATATGTTTTAACGTACATTAAATAGAAAATAATTTTGATATGTTATCAAATAATGTTTCTTCTTTTGATTATAAATTAAATGTACAAGTTACTTGTAATTGTTCTAAAAATAATGAATAGAATAAAGAGAATGTAGTATCTTGTAGCATTGAAAATCATGTAGAATGATCTTCGTGTGAATCGTGTATAAACGTTATTGTGAATATTTTTAAAACAATTATGCATCTCTGAAAGTATTTAAATTGTAAAGATTCTTTATCGATACAGATATTGGGAATTTATTCTTTCATATGCTGCATTTCATATTGGACATTTTTATATCGACAATTCTCTTCTATACGATTATGTTCTTTTGTGCAAAACGACAAAGATTTTTAATATCTATATTGTCTTTATTCTATTCATTATTTTTAGAATATTTATAAGTTACGTGTACGTTTATTAGAAAAATAGAAATGATTTTTAATTTATTTAATAAATAGATTATCATATGCAGTTTGACCAGCGTGGTCATGAAGAAGGTCAGATTCCATCCATGTCGGAAGCTGTGATTGGTCATTTAATATTCAAAAAACTCAAAAAAATGAATTAGCCAATCACAGCCAATCTTTCGTCCGTTTTCTTTAGTTTCATGGCGTCATTCATGGAGAACACATCGAAGTATCATTGTACCGTTAAGATCAGGTAATTAAAAGATTCTTTGTAAGATTTACATCTTCCTATTAGAATATATAAAGGATGTAAGTATCAATTTTGATTTTTTAAGTATATTTGGACAATTTTTATGCTCCTATATCGTATTTTTAATCATTCGAAATTTTTCTTTATTTTAAGTGGAAAGAAGATCTACTGCACATCATTTTCGCGCATGCAGTATTTTCGCGCCAGTCTTATGCACCTTTTTTATGCACTTCAATATGGCGAATCTTTCAAATTTTTTAATCTGTCATCTGTATACTTGTTGCAGCGAATTTTGTTATCCCGTTAATTTCAGGTAATTGTTTCAAATAATTTTCTAAATTTCACCTTCTTATTATCAAATGATATATAATGTTATATAATCAACTAATATATAACAAATGTTTTATATCAAATGATATCTTCATGCAAAATTTTTATACGTGATGGTCGGGTTCAAAAGTGATCGATTTGACGGGTAATGTGCTATATATATATACTTTCTTATTCTTTCTTATTAAAGTGTACGATGTGACATAAAATCGTGGTGTCGAAAAACGTTTGACTTTTAAAATGCAACCCTTCGATGAAAAGAACGATCTTAAGGGCCACGAAGGAATAATATTATGATAACGACGATAATAACAACACGAAGACGACTGCACTCCTTCTCCCATTACGAGAAGGGAAGAAGAAGGGTTCTTTATAACGAGAAATGAAAGCTCCGTGTGTACTTTAATATTTGACACTACCCTAATGCTTCAAAGTACTTTAGGTATATTTTTTTTCTTTTTTCTTCTTCCTTTCTTATTTTTTTCCCTTTTTATTCGGAATTATTTTCATATTTTTCCCTCCCTTATTCTTCCTATTACCGAACTTGTTATCATCCTTTTATTTCTTCTTTTATTTCTGTTATTTTTTTCTTTTTATTCGTCGTTTGACACATCAAGTCGATTCATTTGTTTCACAAAATAAAATATTTTACAAGTCAACGAAGAGTAGTAAGTCGAAGTTGATATATGCAATCCCTTTTATAAAATTCTTCCCTTTTTTATTATTTCTTCTCCTTGTCTCTTCTTCTTTCTTTTTTTTCCTTTTTAATACTCCTAAGATATAAATAATTGATTGATCGTATTTATACTCATGCAGCACTTTACATAAGATAAAAAGAAAATATTTATAAAGTGAAATATTGAGATATAAAATGGTGTGTATACATATACATATATAAGTATATATGAATTTTACATTAATCAAATAAACCAATTAATTTTTTTTTTATTTCCTGTATGATCAAAGATCAAAATTTTATTCTTTTCATTAGAAGAATATGTATATAATATAATAACAAATTGTAAGATTGTTCTTCGGTTAAATAATTTAAGGATTATAAAACGGATTCTGCGTGTAGGAAATTCGATTCTCTTTGTCTTTCTTTCTCTCTGTCTCTCTCTCTCTCTCTCTCTTTCTCTCTTGGACTAGTTTCTCACGAGGTTTCTATACAGGCGCGATAGAAATCGGCGTGAAATGGCACCGCCACAGTCAATCGTGGGTCTCAGTCGACGCGCGGCATCCGTGTCAAACGCATCGCGTTTTCACTCTCTCGGTCTAACACACACGACATTACACAAATATTTTTTATTATAAATATATATAAATCATTTACTTTCTATTATTTTCTAGTACAAAAGAAAGAAAAGAAACGAAAGAAAAATATAAATAAAAAAAAATGCAAATTGTAAATCTCGATTGCAATGATCGTCAAATCTCGTTGGATCATCGTGTGATAGAACGACGTGGTTCATAAAAGAACATGATCACTATGATAGACCGGATCTGACGATGAGAGTGAGAAATAGAGATAGATAAAGGGAGAAAGAAGATTCTATTTGCCAGTGACAATTGTACGAACATGAGTGTGAAAGTGTGAACTCGTTTATAAATAATATCGATCTATTTAATACAATATCATTAAATCTAATTATTTATATAAATATATTCGTAAATCGATTTATGACATATTTAAAAAAGAATAAATCAATCGAATAAAATTACAATCGTAAAAGAAAAAAGAAAAGAAAATAATATTGCATTTATTCTTGATAGATCTATTATGAAGATCGAAATAGAATATCATAGAGACTGATGCTTTTGGAATTATCAATGGTTGATGATGTTTCCTTCGATCGGTGTCTCACCGTTTCCCTTTGATCTTTGTTGACCCTTGAAACAACGATTATCAAGGCTAAATATCCTCGAGTTAAACCGATCTATCCTTAATTAGTGATCCAAGTGGAAACGGTTTAAAATATTCATTCAACATTTAGATCGTTGTGATGAAGTTTAACATAAATAACAATTTAAAGTGTAATAATTTTCATTATTTATTGTCTCCCATCGAAGGAACTTGAACTGTTCTGTGTGGTCAGTTAATAATATGGGTAATATTATTACTCGTGTTAGATTTATAATCATTTAAAAAAAATAATCAAGAGAAAGAGAAATAATTGAAAAAGCAAAAAACGAAAAAAAAAAAATAAGAAAAAAAAGTAAAGCAACGTATACACATTTGAGAATGAAAATCGTGTCAAGATCATCGAGTCCGGTGTCAGAGTTGTTGGGTAAGTACGCTTGAGTTTTATCGTCAATTAGTAAGTACAGGTAACTTACTTTACTAATCGTTAGAAACCAGATACGTTTCTTCTTCTTCTTCTTCTTTCTTTAGTTTTGTATAAATCTTTATTTATTCTCTATGGTATTCTCTACAAATGCAAGTATATAGAATATTTCTAATGTGAATCGTATTCAACCTCGACGAAATATCGATCTTACGTACTCGTTTATCTTACAGCTTATTCAATTTCGATACAACAAGTTTAACAGTTTATATTTAATAAAAATGTTTTCTTAATAATTATAGACTCGACAATAATAATTTTTATAGTCAATAATTTTGATAATAATTCAAAGTTGAACGTCTTTTTAAAATCTTCAATACTTAAAAATCTCTTATACTTTGTTTACAAAAATAAATTTCTCTTTTAATGAATGAATAGTGATTGTACATTCACGGTCTCGAATAAGTTACAACTTTTAAAATATCTTTAAACCAACTGGTAACAGCCATAGATATTTCCACACACATCGATCGATACGGATAATCGTAGGATGTGTGTGTGTACTATATCGTAACACTAGTAGTTTCTTCTATCGTCACTGATAAAATACCTTCTGTCCAACGTCGTGCCTTCATAGTTGAATAAAAATATCTTTTCTTGCTCTCTCGAGAAAGAAAGATAGAAAATGAAAGAGAGAAACATATTTTTCTTCCGGATACAACAGATCTCAGATATTTATATATTAAGATATGTACACATGTATGTATTTCTATCATATATACATAGGGGAATAAAAACAGATAAAAAGAAAGAAGAACAATTGATTTATTCAATTATCTCCTTTATAAATATCTAGACAATTTATTTGCTAACAATTATATTCTATTGTTATTAAATTGACTAGGTCAAAGTTAATTGATGGTGTATGTTAGTGCTACTAGTGCTTTAGCTCTCTATTTTATTATCAACCTGTAATAGAATTTACCGATTAAATTGAAACTTAAATACGATAATGATGAAATAAGAAAATGAGGTATAACCACCATGGGGTGGTATTATCGATGACGTTATTAGTTAATGTTTCTAATGAAAGCCACTTTCTGACAATAAATTATTTTACCATTGATAATTAGTAGACGAAAGTAAAGCAAGAGGTATCTAATGATACTAAATAATCTTCTAAAATGATTTACAATCGGTTTAGTTAGTAACTGATAATGATTTCAAATAATGCTTCTCTAATCTTCTAACTTTTTTATAGTATTTTCTCGTCAAGGTGATTTCAGAAAAAATTCCAAAATAACAAATGGAGAATATGATCATTTAATGGTTACATTATGTTTCGATATATAAATTTATCTTGATTATGTTAGATAAAGTTGAGAATCACTGGAAATGAATGCATTAGTCAGTAGTATAGTCAGGTTTTGATCAGGCTGAATGATACGCAATCCGACGGCCATGAGGGTACCTGCACTCATTATCATTCTTTCCGGAAGAAGTCTACGTTATATTCAATATCTTACATTCAATTACTTCATTGAGAAGCAACTATTCAAGGAAAAAATAAATATATATGTAATACATATGTATTCACTATCTAACAAAATTATTTTATCGTATAAAAATAATTCTTCCTTTTTATATTTTTTATATTTAAAATATCAAGGAAAAACATTTCACCAACCCCATTTATTTTCTTCATAAAATTATATAAATAAAATAGTATTTTATATTAGAAAGGATTCACACAATTACTGAAACTAAACTTATAAACAATTCTTAGAAAATATTTCAATCTTATTAAATTAATTTTATCAAAATACCTTCCCCTATTTTTATTGGTTTCAGTATTACCTTACTTATTTTTGGTATCCCTATGTAATTGAGAATTGCAGTTTTATATAACTTTCTAATTAATATACATTATTGAAAATAAGTTTTGAAAATACATTTTTAAATGTATTAACGTTATATAAATTATCTTTTAAAATAATTAAAATAAGTTTATTCAATGAAACCATTGTTATATCGTAACAAAAGCCATCTACCCTTTTTTACCCCCTTTTTTCTCTCTAATTATATCTATATATTTATTCGATTCTGAAAAATATTTTTTTTTTCAATGATTATATGAAAAAAAAAAAAGATAAAAAAAATGTAATATCATCGAGTTAAGTTTATTTTTATCAGTCAAGTCCATTGTGTTTTCCTTTTAGCTGTGATATACACGAGGGAAGTATCTTTGGCTGACTGAGAAAAAAAGAGAAAGAGAGAGAGAAAGTGAGAGAAAGTGAGAGAGATAGAGATATTATACCTAACCGGACTGAAGCGTCTCTTGTGGCGTCGTCGGCCTGCGTAATAAAATAGGCGCCAGGGTTCCGGATCGAAAACAAACGTAAATCGAGGGTGGAATAACGTAAGTGACACACGACTAGAATATTGTGACGAAGGGTGGATCCACCACCAACTTGTTCTTCCTTTCGCACGAGTAAACAAAAGGGTAAACACGTACACACATATACCTGTATTTATCTATCCTATCTATCTATCTCTCTCAATCTCTCTTTGACTATATAATAAAATTGCATCGAGATACTTGCACGATCTTTTGCATGATGGATGAAAAATCTATAAATAATAGATTTCATTTTATTTTAATACGAACGAAGATTATTTTTTGTATTTTATTACTCGATGATACAATTATTTTTACAATGATATTATACACTTGGTATATGGTAACTTGTATACCTCAAATATAAACTTTCCATTCGTGTATTTCATTTAAAAGCTTGACACAACTGTCGACAAATGAAATAAAAATAAGGAATTTTTGTTTTTACTTTTAACAAACCATTTGTATAACGCGAAAAATCTCTCGCGTAAACTAAGGTAATTAAAAAGAGAGACGTTGTGGTCAGCTCGTTAAATAAAACTTTTTAACTTGTAAATTTTATCCCCTTTTTTTATATAGGAAAAACGTTTTTAAACGAATATATTCCTTTAACAAAATATTCGAAAAAAGATTCCAACTATAAGACATTAGATAGAAAATTAATTGATCTAACAATTTTAATATAAATATTTTATTTAAATATTCAATCTAACGATTGATTCTAATGAATTTATTAATTAATTCAAGAATTATCGAATATTCGTTAGTTATCATATCTCAAATCGATACAAAACAATTAAAAATTTATTTGGTGGTTTAAATTAAAGATTTATTTGTCGGTTAGTAAAAAATGTATGCATTGGCTTCCGTGATGATTAATTCGTGTGTGTAAATGCACCTATATTCTACATATGTGCACGTATAAATTTACATATATATATGCCTAGAACAAATTGATCATAAGACCACGACGAGTGGAGACAAGGTGGTGAGGAAGTGAGGAACCACTATACGTCAAATTGGGTTAATGCTAATGTAGTTATCCAACTACATGATAGCAAATCCAATAAACTACCAGTCGAGAGAGAGGAATTTTATTTTTTTTTATTTTTGTCTCTCTTTCTGTTTTTTTCCTTTTTTTTTTTTATTTATAATAAACATTTTCATCATCTCCCACCATGTCTAACATGCTGACGTTATTATCGTTGTTATAAAGTTCGATTAGTTATGAAACTTTTTTGTTCTCTAACTCGACATTCGTTTTAAACATCGTTTTAAGGAACTACTAAAAGTTGTTAACGTTCCTGACAATAATATATAACACTTTTAAATAATCACGTAGGAAAAAAAAAACATAGTAAAGAAAATAAAAAAAAATTAGATTAAGTTTTAACTAAATTGAATTTACTTTAATATTAAAACAAGTTAAGAGAACCAAGGTAATTTAGAAAGTGTGCCTTACCTTACGTAAAAAGTACTCGTTGTTTTGGGAAAAGTATAATACGTGAAGAAAATGCTGATGAAGAAAATGAACAAGATAAAAGATAAAAAATCCTATGTATTCTTCTTCTTCTTTTTTTGCAGGAGAAACATGAAATAACGGAAAGGTAAAGGTGATATCACCCAATATAATAATATCAACTTTAGTCAAGGATAAGAAAAGGGAGAAAAATAAAAAATGGACAAGTACGGAGTTGAATTTCCTAAACGTGACTGGAGTCACAGGCTTAGTTTGCGTGGAAGTAGAAGAAGTCATCAGGTAAGACAAAATAAAGTTATAATCATACTATTTCGAGAATTCATTTCCTTTTAAACTATTCATTCGTTCAATCCTAACATTTCGTAAGCTTTTGACAAAGGATAAGAACATTTCTACAATTTCATTCTCTCTCTTTCTAACTTTTTTTCAAAATGTTCACAATTTCATTAAAACTGAAAATGTAGGAAAAATATTTGAAATAAAATAATAAAAAAAAAAGAAAGAGAGAAAAATTTTTCTTCTTTACGATATCATCTCATCGTGAACATTCAAAGTCGATTTCTTGTGTTTTCTTTTATAATATCTTTTATTTATTTCTTTATCTCATCTGAACCAGAGAAACGCGCTATCGAGTTACGAAATGCAATTAAAAACTTATCCGAATTGCTCTTTTTCTATACGAATTGATTTCATTTATTTAAACTTATACACACACAAATCTTTTACGTTTTATTCGATCTACGATGCCAATTCTTTGAATATATGGTGAATCACTTTATAAATATTTTTTTTCAATATATTTCTTCACGGTTGAGATTATAAAAAAGGCACAACAAAAAATACGAACAATCGAATAACAATCTGGAGATTTAAAGAAATAATTTAAAAAGCTTCTCTTTTTTTCCTCCCTTCCTAACTCTCATAAAATGATATCGGTTTAAAAACGTGTAAACACTTTTGCATATGCGTGCATGTTTCTACCATTTCCTAAAAGTTGTAAAATTTCCTGTTTCCTGACCTTATATTATCAACGTGTATATAAATGATAATTTGTCTAAATTCTTTTTTTTTTTTTTTAATGTTTCACGATTTTTCTACATTTAGTATTATCCTTATCAATGTTATTGAGAGAGTGAGTGAGAAAAGAATCAATGAGACATTTAAAATCACGCACGTTTTTAAAAATAAAGAAAAAATACTTGGTGTGCATATGTTATAAATGTATACAATAAACTTATATAGATTACAATTTATTACTAGAAGTAAAAAATAATCGTGTATAACTCGACAATCATAATATTACAAAAGGTTTAAAATATCTTTTAACTCTTTGAAGTGTAGAAAAGAAAAGAAAAATTAAAACACACATGCAAAAGGTCAAACACAAGATAGTGCTAAAAATTATATTTGCTGTAGAAAATAAAAAAGAAAAAAAAATGTATACTATCGTAATCATATTTGCGACTATACTAACTTTTGTTTAAACTTGCAATCGAATTACTCGTGTTTTCATCAGAAAAAAACCGCAATGTTGAAATAAAAAAGAAGAAGAGAGACACATGGTCAAATAAATCACAACATTCGGACAATTAAAAAAAAAAGAAGAAGAGCATAGTTTCTATCATGTTTCTAAGTCACTATACTCACTCACCTTTTAAACTAGGAACGAGTTATAGGTGGGCTCGTTAACACGATACCTAGTAGTTAATCGATCCTCTTTCGGAGGATAAGAAGAATTATAGTCGACAATTTTGAGTACTCCTAAGAAAAAGAAAAAAAAAAAAGAAGAAAAAAATATAAGAAAAAGTTTAGTCTTGCGTGAAAGGAGATCGTTAACACGAGAGTTCACCAATTTCCTTTAACATTTCTCTCTTTCTCTTTTTCTTTTTTTCTTTCTCACACACGCACACACATACACTGTCTTTCTTTTTTTATCATCTTCGTATAAAGTGATGTTGGAAAAACTCCAGCACACTCGTAGAAATGTAATTTCGTTTGACCGCAGGATAGGAGTGGATACTATTTGTGTAATAGAAAAAAAGAAAAAGAAAAAATCTTGAAGTTTTTTTTTTTGGAAGGGTCAAAGTAGTATTCTTGTACATCTCTATTTTTTACTTTGTTCTTTTTACCTTATCAAAGAGAAATTTGTTATCGGAGAATCGTCAAATTCATGATCTGAACGTTACCTGTATTCTATGTTGAAATGGCTATCGAATTTCCCTTCTCTATTATATTATATTATATTCTATTATATATATATAGAGAGAGAGAGAGACAGAGAGGGTTGGAACTAGAATTCAAAATGAAGTTGGAAATTCTATAATAGTAACGTCATAATAGATGAGAGAAAATAATTATTACATAGTTTTCATAACTTACAAAGATTTCAAGATAATAATTATTATTTTTACAATAGTTAAAAATAATCATTCCAGAAATAATTCGATTTTTTTGCAATTAAATTAGATTATTTGTAATGTATTAAATAACAAAAATAAAAAGAGGATTCACATCTTTAGCATCAATGCTTCGATTTGCTTGTATTATCTTTGTAATTAAATTTTAGTACATATATATATATATATCGGATTTTGCGTTATCGGAACATCTGTGGTACTCATTCGTCTTATCAATTTTTCGTTTCAACGAATGACAAATTATTATCGTTGAAAATCTATCTCGGGGTAGAAAACATAAGTAATTTCATACTACGAGAATTTCAATTCTTATTTCCGTGAAGAATACTTCTTATTATTTTATTCATTTTAATCGATGCACAAAGTTATTAGTATCGATATCGAGAATACGTTCGAAACATATAAAAGACGTTTTAAAATTAAAAAAAAGTATAATGATAGAAGTTTGTAATTTGTGGAAATCACGTATCAGCCATATATTGCTGAAATTCTGAATTAATTGCATGACTCAAATGAAATTATTACATGTTGGAGAAATTAATTTGAAGATTTTTATTTTCTATTTTCTTTATTTTCATTTAGTATTTTTTGTCTCTAAAAATAAAAAAAGTAGTAATATTTTCTCCCATTTTTGTATTCTTTCTTCTCTCATTCTATCATTTTACGTTAAAGTGGAGAAACGGATACGTAAATTAAGGATAAACAAAAAAAAAACAAAAAAAAAAACAAAAAAATAAACTTCACTACTCAATTTACTCGGAATATATATGTATATCTATTGGAGATTTGTTTTTGTAAAAAAATAAAAATCGATATCGATGTAAAAGCACGTTTTTTAAAAAAGAAAAAAAACTCCTACGTGTAAAATACATTCTTCGTAAAAACGTTGATCACATACGTTCTATGCTAGAAAATTTTTTTTTTCTTTTTTATTTTTTTATTTCTCTCTTAGATTCTTCTCGTAGAAACGTCACTCGATGCTTTTGCTAAACAAAGAACTAAAAAGAGAAAAGAGAAATTGTAGAGTTTCCAATGGGAGAGTTCATGTGTTGGTAGATAGTTCGAACGAGATAGAAATACAACAATACAACAACTAAAAGAAAGGAAATAAAAATTCCAACTAGTCACAAAGGTGATTTAAATCGAAGAGTCCTCCTTTTTTCGAATTTTTTTCCTTTTTGTTAAAGCGATTTCTCAATGGTGGAATTTGTAAAAAAAAACGATTTCAAACGAAAAGGAATGAAGGGAAGAAAAATTTAAAGAAAAAAATGCAAGCAATAAAATAAATTTTTTATATATTTTCGAATATGCAACACTAAAAGGTTTAAAGAACACAAATACAGAGAATATTAAATTCGTGAATAACTTGAATAGTATTGAATTACTAATACGACTTTGTATTCTAATTTTTCTTTCTTTTTTTTTCTCGTCCCTGAAGATTAAGGTACAAGGTAAAAAATTAATCCCATTGAACGAAGGAAAAGAAGAAGCGAATTTTCTTCTTTAATCGTCTTCCTTATACATTGATTTAATTAATTATTTATACAAGATAAATTAATTAAGTAAAGAAGTTTCTTTATTAGTGCAAGTTAAAATTCTTCCTTAGTTTTCTTTTTATTTTTGTCAAATAATGAATAAGCATATGTATTTTTCCACTTGATTAAAGTATAATTAGTAAGTTTCAATTTAAAAATAATTTCAGAGGAATTTTCTAAGATAATGAAACATATTTAAATAAATTAATAGTTATTTCTTTTTTTACCATCCTCCCATTCATTTAAAATTGCACGATCATTTTAAATCGTTCAAGTTCTCAAATATCAATTTATCCTTTCAAAGAAACTTTCTATTAACTCGATAAATTTTAATAAGATTTCTTTTTCTTCTTCTATTTTTTTCTGTTCATTAAATTAAGATATTTATCTCGTGGGAGAAGATAAATCTTGCATATGTGTGGCAATCTCGAGAGTGAACAACATTAAAGTGCCGCCAAAGAAAGATGCATGTAACCAGACGTGGTTTTAATTTCGAAAAGTGCCTCAAGTATCAACCAATTGCTACTTTCTTTTAGATCTTTCAAAGAAAAAAGAAAAAAGAACCTCTCTCTCAAAATTATTTAAAAGTAGTCCTGAAATGTGTCAAATTAAAAGAAAATTAGATATGTCTTTAAAAGGAAAAAGAAAAAAGAAAAAAGAAAAAAAACTTATCTCCAATTAAAAGATTAACTTTCTATGATAGTTCTAAGATTGTATTTTATGTTCTGCTCTCAGAGTGACATTGGTAATACTAAATCGACAACAGGATCATTGAAAAGTACAAGAAGATGGGCTAGTCTACGACAACATATGGAAAACAACGAGGGTGGTAAACCACGAGTCGAATTACTCTTAGATCCACCAGGATCTAAACCTTCGACTCCTTCAACACCCCATACACCACACACCCCGCACACACCTAACACACCAAAGACACCGCACACGCCTGTAAAGAAGTCTAACTGGGAGGTTATCGAGCACTTTACTGGCCCACCTCGTCCCTCCATTATCACGGTAGGCGGTTCCTTTGATCGTTAAAGAAACACTTACAAAATATTCACCCTAAAACTTTCCACCTCGTATAACGAGAATAAAGACTTATTTTATGTGCACTTCAGAAATCTTTTGGATATTCCATTGAATTTATAAATTATTTATTCGATGTAAAATGTCGAGAAAAGAAAAAAACACCATGGAAAAAGTAAGATCGATAAAATGCCTAATGTTCGCAAAAGATTATCAACATTAATTTATTTTTTTTTTTTAAATTAAATTCCCTAAAAATTGTTTGCTACTTATCTAATTATAATTGACTGTAAAAGATTTGTATAAAAAGCTTCATACTATCTATTATGACGTTGGGATTAATTATAACCATGATTGATAATTTACAGATGAACAGAGGATCGGAAGTAGGGGGTTGTATCAACGTTGTTGGTAAAGAACCAATAACGGAAATTGTTTCAAGTCCTATAATAACTCAACCATCAAGGAAATGTGCTTTCTGCAGATTTTTAAGCTCCCTTTGCGCATCACATCACTTCAAAAATCTTCAGGTAAATTACTACTCCCAACCATTCTCCACCTACCACCTACACTATCTTGAAAATGATTAATGAAAATAATAATTTTCTAATCGATACGAAATTGACTAAATGTAATCGTTTGGTCTAATGATTTCATGGAAATAATATATATATATATATATAATATATATATATAGATCATTTATTTTCACGTGCTATATTTGAACTTGTGAAAACGATTGAAGTTTATAATCAGCTGTTGTTGTACTACACGGCAAGATGAAAGCCCGTACAACGTATAATAATATATATATTATATATAATATGTTATCGAAGACGCGTGTTCGTTATCAAGCGTAACTTTAACGTGTAACGTGATAGATCTAATTAATCAACGGGTTTAGAGTATAAGCCAAAGGGGAAAGTAACTTCCTGAAAGTTTGTATTTTCAAAAATTGTCAATTTTTATTTACCAAGCTTAAAAGTACCGATGTGAATCATGGTGAATTCTACTTCCTCGATATTCATAATCAAATAAAAATAGTAGTATTTTATTTAAAAACTTCTAATGTATTTTATGCTTAATCTAATTAGTATGCTTTCAAGACAAAACTTTTACAGGTTAAGTAATGCACTAGAACTGCATAGAAATTGAAATACCAAAGGATATTTTCTCAATTTTTTTTCTATCCTCGGAATAAATCGATAACAAAGTTTCCAGGAATATTTTGTTTGTTTATTTCTCGTTTTTAATTTAATCAGAGATATACTATACGTTCATTCTGCATTTCACGTACTGCGGATGGTTATATGCTATATCATAGTGAAAGCTTTCGTATAAATATTCAAACAATTCATACATATAAAAATAAAATAGAATAAAAGAAAATATTTAAAGTAACGCTATATTTCATCGTGAACTGTACTCGTGATTCACTGAATGTCCCAAAAAATTGTTTTTATATATATAAATACAAACCTATATACACGAATATAAAAAAAAAATAGTATATAAAAGCAAATATTTAAAGTAACACTATATTTCACCGCTAAATTTACGCATGATACACTGGATATTTCAAAAACAACAAAATAAAATATAAAAGAAAATAAATCAAGGATCCAAAACAACGTGAAGATTTTGATTAAATAAAAAATAAAAAATTCGTATAATAATTTAAAAGTCAATGGGGATTAATGGTAATATTTATAAATAAATCACAATGATTTCAATACTTACATAGTTTCATGAAGTTATCGATCATACGTAACATACACACAAATTTTTCTATGATGTTTCTCGATGATGATAATAATCGTAATGATAGCTTTGAGACAGTACCGACAAAAAAAAATGATATCTACAAAATTTTGGGATAATCGAAACACTGATAAAACACATAGCGTTCGATATTATGACGCAATTCTCAACTATTGAAATCTTTTCGTTATTTGTTTAAGTTAATCCATATTAATCACCTTTACCAATATATATCTCTATAAATAGTGATTCGTGACTATAATACGAGAGTGAAAGAGACAAAAGAGAAAAACAGGAGAGAGGGAGGATATATAAATATAGAAATATATTATATAGAATGTCAGAATGATATTTTTGGGTCAATCTAGAATATATTCTGCAGGTGAATGTATTTAGAACATTTATAATTAAATATTTTTTTAAACTAGTGCAAATGAAACAAAAAATGTATAAAATGATTACAATCTACAAAAATGTGTATACAATGTCAATCAAATATTTCTGTCAATTTTTAAAATTTAGTGCATCAGTGGGATGTGTTTAAAGCATGGAGGGTGGGGTAGGAAACAAAATTGCAATCTACTGTAAGTAAAACAAGGAAAAATAATATTGTTAAAAATATACTAAATAATTGTTCAAGATTATGCACACGAGGTGTATACTTTTTATTCATAAATGTGCAAACTTTTCAAGATGAAAATGGGAATGAGATAGAAATTGATAGATGATCGTGTAGCTTTTAGTGACTTACATCTTCCGGAAAGCTCTCTCTCTCTCTCTTTCTCTCTCTATCAGTTGCTATGGGAACTTGATAATTCTCGATAATTCTCTCGATAATCGTATGGCTTTTCACGAGTAAATCCATATACGTATTTTACCCAACATCGTATGCGATTTCTTTTGTTGCATTATATTAGATAAGGAGACCTTTGATAAATGATTAATACAAACACACACATCCATACAGTAAAAAATATAACATAATATATAGAAAATATCGATTAGAATTAAATAGAAATAAATTTATTGGAAGGAAAAGGAAAACTTTTTCTTTCGATTTTATTTGATGATTAATTGATAAATGATTGCAATAATAAAATATTGTAATGCATGTAATTCAAATAATAATCGAAAAAAAAATGTTTAGTCGATCTAATTTTAAATGAAAAATATTAGAACGAATATTAGATTTCCCGATTACAATTTGATATGTCCTTTAATACGTGTTACATACATACTTACATGTATGCTGAGTGTCTTGAGAATATCAATAATTCGATCGTTTCTAATGAAATACGATCATCTGCCTTTCTAATTTCAGGTGGAAATGCTCTACCAACGTTATTTCCTTCGCATGAATCAGAGTAACATGACACACGTGCTAGGTTTACTAGCAGGATTGGCATTCGCTCTGGGAATGTTACTCATCATTAGATTGATTCTAACCGATGGCGAACCCTTACTTATGCTACTTCGACGATCCGAAAATCTTTCTCTAGCAATTACCCTAGTCATATGTATCATCGTTTACGCAGGTAAAAAATTCCAAAAAATAATACAAAAGTATTAGGTATAAACAATTTGTAACCCATTATTTAAATTGAAATAATATTATCATTTGAACATTCTTTATTTTCAAGGAAGAACTCTAATATTTTTCTTCATATTTTTCTATCTCATTTTCTTTATTTTTTTTTTTTTTTTACACGTAATCATATTTTACAATGTTCCATTATTCACGGATATTAATGGATAGTAATAACGAAGAGAACTCCCCCATGAAATCTCATTGATTGAATCGTGATTATATATATATATATTTATCTTTTTTCTTGATTGAAGTAAAGACACACACAAAAAATAAAAAAATATATTGAATCGATTAATAATATTTGCAATTATAGTAACCATTCTGTTATTTTTTATTTGTTATTTAATCAGCATTAGTAGCAGCCATTTCGAGGCCTGGAATGAACGAAATTTGGTTGGCAGTTGTCAGTGGTGCAGTATTGGTGACACTGTTGGCATTACAAGTTACTTTGAACATTCATTTGGCCTATTTGCACGAGATTCAGCAGAAAAATTACGATGATGATGAGAATGAAGAATCTTCATCTTCTTCTACATCACCAATACCTCCCTCACCTTCGTTGTTCACAATACGAACTACGAAAGAACTTCGTACAGGTGGACCATTGGCAGCAGCTTGGGCAGTTTGTTTTTTCATCTACATGGCGTATGCTCTTTTACCGATTAGATTAAGGCACGCCTGTATCGCTGGAATTTGTTTTTCGATTGCTCATCTAGTTGGTGCTTTACTGTTATATCCACAGGATTATCCTGCTATCATGGCCCACGTGAGTACATTGTCCTTTTTTATTATTTCATTTTTCTATTAGATGATTAAATCAATAAGTAAATAAAATATTTATTTTGAAAGTGGTTATATATCCATTTGTAGCTCGTAAATATACATTATTTTAGTTAAATTCATATAAATTTAATTGATATAATCAAATTAAGTATTGATAAATCAATAATCACATTACCATACTTAATATAATTACCCCAATATTTTTTTATTGGCATTTTTATTGAAATCTCGAATTATTAATACTTGCTCTTGGAAATTTAAAGCAATATTCATACTATCCAATTTGGGTATACTTATACGATTTGCACTATCAAATATCACATGATGATTTAAAGAAAAAATTATTTTCGTATTTTAAAACAACGCAATATAAGTCTATCGATAATTCTACTTTGATGTATTCTCGAATCTATTCGAGTGATTAACTTACAAAAGATTTTGCATATACCTCTAATTATAATATACGTACATATATGTACATACGTTGATCAATTTTGTTTGAATTTCAACCAAAATCTCGTGTTGAAATTTATACACATTAATCTTTCCCTTTCTCTCTCTCTCTCTCTCTCTCTCTGTTTCTCGATAAATTTTCCTTCCATTCGAACAATTCCATATTTCATTTATCTTTTCATCGAGTTAATCCACCTATAATGACAATTGTAGCGTATATTTTCCAAAAAAAAAAAAAAAGAGATATAGAATAACATACGTAACGTTCTCGCGGTTACATTCTCGAATAATATGACAGACTGTGCGATAAGTTCTTTCGTACTATGGATAAGAGATAAGCAAATAGATCGATCGGTGTTAGAATAGAAAATAGAAGTGACGTTGAAGAGAACTTTACAAGAGGATAGGAAAGAAACGAAGAAAAAAAAGGATCAATCGAAAGTAAGTAAGTAAGAGAGAGAGAGAGAGAGTGAGAGAAAAATAAGATAGAAAAGGCTATACTATCTATTCTAAAAAATCTCATGAAAAGAGTTCCTTGTTATTGGATTTCGTGGCAACTGAAAGTGTCTTCATCCATCAAGTTACCAAGACTCTTAAATTCTTTCCTTTACGCGATTACAAAAGCAACTTTTATTATACCTTGAAAGCTTCGACAGGTTCACCCATGTTCGATATAATTCACGAAACTATCGTGACGAAAGAAAACTAGATTTCCAAATTTGTTTCTTCGTTCCATTCTAGTAAATTTTTTGATTATCAAATTACAATATTAATAGCCTTTGTCGTGTTGTAACTCTTCTTGTTGAGAAACCCAAAGGACAAAGGTCGTACGATGTTTTCGAGAAATATATGAACTCTGGTTAATAAAACTCGAAGAAAAATAAATAGACTATTAAATCTATATTTGTTCGTTCGTTCGTTCGTTCGTTATTATCTTATTTTAAAATAGGACAGGAAAGAAAGAGAAAACAAAATTATTTTCATTAATAAATAAATTAGATTAGAAAGAAAATGATCTCGTATATGTTTTTCGCGTTTATATATACACGTCCGGTTTTGATCAAAGTATCTAAAATGTAATTATTAAATAACGAGTTTAACGTGACAGTAATTAGCTGGAGAAAGCCACTGTTCCTATATCATAGACCATGATGATATTGTTTGAAAGTAAAAGACGGTTTGTACGGTAGGAAGTAAACGCGATCTCTAACAATCTCAACTAGCCTCAATAGTATATTAACTCTGCTTCCATAGTGTGTTACTATGTATACTGAGAAACACGTAAACTCAATGAATTGACTCTAACGTCGATGAGAAATTCGACAATTACGTCTGAAGGTACAGAGTTCCTTTGGAGATGACTATGTACTCACCTATCTACAAACTGCTAGACCGATCAAAGACGTTCGTTCCTGCTATTACTATAATAGAACTTGCTTCATTTATCAGCTTTGGTCATTGTATCCTTTTTACGGATACAATTAGTACCTATCTTTTATTGTGTTTCCTTCTATTTTCCTCTTTTCTTAGAAGAAACGATTTAAAATCCTTTGTATTCGAGTTTATTACAATTGCCCTTTTAATCGTTATTTTGGATTTTATTTTATTACAAAGAGAGAGGGTTTATATATAAATTATTTATATATATTAAAAACTTACTTGAGATACGGTTTCATTTTCTATTTGTTCGTATGAATCGTTCATTCGATTTCGCTTCCTACTTTCGTGCTTTACGAATATTTGTCTGTCATTAAATTTGTTTGGAACAACAAGGGTCCCATTCCAATCAGACACACCATTCAATTCGAAAATACAACGAAAGTAACGTCATTCATCGTTTTATGGACTGTTTTTCTTTTATTACATTTTGCATTTTACATTTGATTCCATTTGATTCCATTTGAAAAAGAACTTTTGACAATTCGTTTAATTTTGAACGTGCATTCTATAAAGAACAAAAATATGAATGAATGAGCTTGCATCAGTGATCATTAATTAAGTTATAATTAAAATAAGGAATGTAACTTAAACGAAAAGGACTATAAGAAGAAGAAAAAAGTAGTAGACTAGTTGATCAGTATAGTCACGTAAAAAAGATGAGAAGTAGAGAAAATCCTTGAGAGATTAGAGTACATAGGAATCATAAATCATGAGCTCATCATATAATCCTGGTTTTCTCAGTAACTATATACCTGCAATCTCAACATGTTTGTACTATCCTAACAACAACAACTACTACTACTACTACTAGATAGTATGATTAAGGAGATATAATTAATTTGGTAAATTTCTGTCACGTCCCATCTCATCGTCTTAATTAAAAAAAAAGTAAAAAATACACTCAACACCTTATGCTTTCACAACTGTTACAAATAAACATCCAATGGACAATGAGAAAATATGAAAAATAAATTCACTTATCTTCATACGACTTTGTAACTTAATAAAAATAGAGGAAAACTAAAAAATCAAATCTTTTGAAGAGTACTTGTAACAAATATGTTTGTTATAATTAAAATACAGATACGATTATTTCGATTTGTCATAGTGATCCCATTAACTGATCCCAGTCGAGTAGCCCTTTTCCATATCAAAGTATTCAAATTGGAAATTTCCAAAATTCAATAGAATAAAATTCACAATGTACTTACACTCTTTGTTGAAAAGCTTAAAACATCGATTTATGGAAATCGAAGGATATAGGTCATGGTCGACATAGATCGATTGAGATCGATTGAGTAAATTCCTATATTTGATAGGAATATTTGAACAAATATGTTACACGATAACAACGCAACACAAGCACAAGACGTATCTCTTGAACAAAACGATCGAATCAATCGTTTGCATTTAATGATCGATTAAAAACAAATTTATTCTTAGTCTCCAGAGAGAGAATCAAAGAGAAAGAGAGAGAGAAAATAAGTGATAACTAGTCGTACACAATGTTTCGATTTTAAACGAGAATTGGACACGACAAAGCGACAAAATTTAACTCGATAAATAATCGTAAAACTTTAATCTATTTCCCAAAGCTGCGTCAGAAAGTGCTGTGTGTTACTTAGTACAATTGAACTCTGATAAATTTTGTGAATACCATAAAATAGTAAACAATTTATTTATTAGTCGCGAATTAGTTAGTCACGTCAGAGTTTGTTTTTGACAGTACCGACCTAATTTTACAAATTCTACAACGAATATAATTCTTTTTAATTTCAAAATGTTCCTAATGCAACAAACGCATTTTCCTACAGGTTTTAAACATTTTTTTTCATTGAAAAAAACATTTTTCTGTTCTACTAGATTGTATAATTAACTTGTTACAGTTTAATTACATAATAAATTAATTTATTTTCGCCTACTTTTTATAACGTTCAAAAAAAAGTAAAATAAAAGAAACGAATAATAGTTCGTGGAAATAAATAAAAAAAAAAACTTTCCTAGAAAGAGAAACTTAAGGAAGCATCTCTTCTACGTGTTTGCATCCTATTTCTCCCCAGCGACTTGCCGTACTTTTCTTTTCTTTTCTTTCTTTTTCTTTTCCAACATACACGCCAGTTGAATAATAATTTATTGGCCAATGATCGAAGACAATCAACAAACTTTTATCCTCAAAAAAAAACGACTATTCTTAAAATTACTTTCTTCTTTTTTTAATCCTCAAGAGAATATACATTTATTTTCTACCGAAATTTTATAATCTTTTTTTAAATATCACATCAATAGATTTTCATCTGAAATTGTTCAAGCTTTTAACGCGTGAATTTTTTTCTATATGAAAAAAAGAAAGTGCAGGTAAAAAAGTCGTCTTTCCAATTTAATTATTGTCTAGAAAAGTGTGTTTTACGAATAAAGTATTCGGAGTTGAAATCAGCAACTCAATCATTCAACGCGCGTACGCATGGGGTTCTATCTAGGGGAAAAACTTAATAGCCAAAGTATCAACAAAACTACCCCTTCTCGTAAGGTTATTCTCGTGCTTTTCTCTCTCCTGAGATTCAACAAGGAATTTCTCATCCTCGTTCATCGTCGTCGTCGTCGTCGTCGTCGTCTTCGTTTTCGTCGACCTCGTTTCTTTGCCCTTGGTCAATCGTCGAAGCTTTCTATGGGACTATCGCGATGAATATTTTATTCTTTTAACATTCACTTCTTCGTTCATTTACATTAGACGAATATAAAAGCAGAAAGGGAACTGTATAGCACGTATAGGGTGAACTACAAAAAAAAATTTCAAATAAATTTTTCCTACGCTTTCAATTAGACATAAAAAGAAAATAATAATAAGACCAAGACGATAATAATTATAATTTAAAAGGTTTCACACAAATGAGAAATCAATTGTTTAGAAAAGTTACCTTATGGAATATTTTTGTAATATGTTTATTTCGATTTGATTTAATTTCTTTTCTTTTTTTTTCTTTTCATTTCGAAAAGTTTTATTTCGGTAACAATATTTAACAATTGGAAATGATACGATATAATAGTATATATTTGCTAAGAATACAAATTTCTGGGGGTTTGTTCTGAAAA